ATGTGCGCGCGTGTGTATAAATACATTCCTTTTAACAATGCTCTGTGAAAATGCATCTAATAAATGTTAAAACAGACATGTTTACAACGTCTAGCGTACGTCTAAGCCAAAATTTAATAACGATTAACGAGCTCGCGTTTCAGACACGAACCGTAGAACATCCGAGGGTTCCGCTCAAGCTGATGACTAAATTCGTGCTATCTCGCCTGTAAATTCTTTTTTCCCGTCCATCCCTCCCGTGTACATCGGCGCATTATATAATGCTCCCCCGCGTGTATATACGTCCCATCGGTCTTTATAACTCGGCGAAAGGAACGAGCGAAGCGGACTGAAACGTCGACGGTTGCACGCGGTCGGGCGTTCGCCGAGACTGGAAGCGTGTGGAAGAGCCTCTGTCGAATCGATTCGACGATGGGTGGAGAGGGCCACGGCGCACACTGCAATGCCGTAACTCCTCGGGGTGAGATTCCGAAAGCCAAAAACTAAAGACCGGTGCAGACCTTCTTTGAAAGCTCCGGCAAAAGGAGGCGTGAGAAATCACCGGTAACGAGAACCGTCGTCGCGACAAGCGTTCATCCAGCGAAATTATCGGACTTGGCGTTCCTATAAATCTTTCGTGGAATTTAAAATACCATCCCCTACCTCTCGCGAATGTATCAGCCCCGTGGCGACCGTATTAATTAAGCCTTTAATCATTCTATTGCCAACCGCCGCCTCTTGCATATTTCGCACGAGGCTTGCACGCGACATTATTCTGCGGAAAGAACAATAAGGCTAATAACGACCAATTTAAAAGTTCAATTGGTATACGCGATGCCGCGTGTATAAATTCATGCTCGTCTCTCTCTCTCTCTCTCTCTCTCTCTCTCTCTCTCTCTCTCTCTCTCTCTCTCTCTCTCTCGGTTGGATGATATCTATTTTAATAAAACCAATGCGAGATACGTCGCGCTGGAATTTTTCCCTAAGATGAGTCAAAGTTACATTAATATCAATGATGTTATATCAATTTCATAGAAATGATTACGCGCATATAGGAATATGTAACAGTTACTATCTTCATTAGCATTAAGATAATTTATATTACTACAAATATACTGTTATTCCGTATATTTTGTGATTGTACGAATGATAGCAGATATCATTTCTAGCACATAATCTCGATCATCACAACACTATATTACACGCAAAATTAGTTGAATACACTTGATATTAATAGACGCAACGATATCAACGTCTAATTATAATCTCGGACGCACGTTCATCGTACGCGCGGTAGAAAAGAAACTTTTAAGCGCATCGACTGATAGTAACACTTTGCACGCGAGGTATTAAGCGCCATATTAACCGTAATATGCGTATAAAATGAGAAACAGTGATTACCTGTGTGTAACGGTATCATATCTGTTATTATTAATTGATCCACTCGTTTAAGTCATAGAATTTTAAAATTCATGTATATAAATATCTATAATGCAATAATCCTGTGATACTATCGTTTAATTATAATGTATTTGAAGGTAATTTATACGAAAATGTGCTATGAAGTAAAATTATTAATATTATTAATATTAGTGAGATTAATTTGCAATATTCTACATACTGTAATTGTTTACAGAAATGATCTAAATAACGCGTCTCTAATAAATTTAATCAAACACATGCAATTTCAGAAATCGTTCAATCATTTGTCAGTCAGCTGCAATTATAGTTATATCGGAGCTGTTGCCTTCTCATAATCACCTTCTAGTAATCAACGCCAGCAAGAGAAATATTTTTCACATTCTCGGCATTCCACGTGATTGACAGAAAAGCATTTCCGTACTTTGAAATATTAGCGACAAAAGTAAAAGTAGTACGAGTCTGCGAATTGAACAATTCTGCCAATCGATATCGCGTCAATATTGCTTTCACCGAACTTTTGTATTCTTACTTTTCATTGACAAATGATCATCGCTTTGTAAAAATAAAAGATAAATTTCAGTTAAGCCTTCCTGAATGTCGTGACGTAAACGACACCGGAGGGAAATGAATAATGGCGAAACAAATGCCGCGTCTCAACTTCGAAGAAGCGGATTGAGTATTTCTGAATTACGTATCTTCTCCCAGTATTTTTTAATACTTCGGATATTTTAAAGCTATTTCATTATTTATTATCTCAAAACTGCTCCATTATCATTATGTGCTGTAAATTAAAAAAAAGAATACCTTGGCGCCAATAAAATTTATGGATATATTCTGTACATCATATATTCATAAATGCGTGTTTTAATAATTGAAATATAAGAACTGAGCATAGTATAAAACGTGATCTGTTTGATTTCACTCACATTTTTTAATTGAGAACATTTTTTTATATACATTATATGTGTCTATGTGTATATAATATATGCAAGATTCCGTGAACGCACGATTATCAGAGTAATAATCTCTTGAATAACAATTTCTATCTTAATTACATTTTTTTGTTCTACACACTTTAAAATTTGTGTGTATGTGTATATGTGTATATGCGAGTATGTTTGTGTATGAAAGGAGGATTCTTTAAAATATTTTAAAAACTATTTTTTCTCGAATTCTTATATGTACTATATGTATATCTATAATTTTGGGAAAAGATATTCATACTGTAATATTTCATTATTAGATATCTGTGTGAAAAGAGATGTATTGTGTAAAGACATCTCTTTTCATATTATGTAATAATTGTTAAAAAATTAATTTCGAACTAATTTCATACAAGTAATCTTTTCGTGAACTCTGATACAATTTCTCTCTTTCTTTCTTTGTTTTTAGTGCTTTAAAGAGATTAAATTTTAAAAACTTTTTACAAGATATATATTTTTTTAAATCATTACACATTTCAGAAAAATATTACGAAATTTTTCTTATATTAAAATTTAATACATTTTTTTAGTAAAAATGTTAAAGATAGTCTTTCTTCGAAATTGTAATTATAGCGACAATTATCTTTTCTACGAGCAGTTTCTCCTTCCGACATTTCATCGTGTGTAAGATTTGAAATCGATTATCATAAAAACGCACTCTATCCATGGCGTGTTCACCTGAAAGGTTCTCAATCATTTGGTTTTGCGAGTGAATCGATCGCTAAGAGTCATTACGAAAACATAGAATTATTCGTCAAACTTTGAAGCTAGTCGATTGATACGTAATCACGTCTTCGACGCCAATTGGAGATTATGGACGACGTTTAATGCTCTCATCTTTAACTGATAACCTTACCAGATTAAACATGGCTATTCAATGCTGATAGCATTATCGGCGACTGAAAATACAATAAAACTCGCTACTGTCACGCGCTGATGTCTGAGTTATACTAGTGAATGTTGTCACAACAGCTAGCTTCCCATAATGTAAAGTTTCCACATTCGTAGAAAGTCCGGGGGCGCGTATTGTCCTGTCTTTGCACACCACTGTAAGGCACTCTTTCGCGACAGGTCAAAGAAACTTCAACGTAGAGAAGCTCACAGTGCTTGTGACGTCTCTGACGACCTTGAGTACGAGTCTTCCTTCGCTTATGAATCGTGCTTCTACAAAACACCGTCAGATAGAATAAACACTTGATTTGTGCGCAAAGCTGACCAAAATCCAACATGCTGAAAGCTTGCAATCATGTTCCACCATAATACATGCTCAGAAATCCGTGTAGCTGTTATTTGCAATCGTTAAATATTACAGAAATCAATGTGTCGTGAAATAAATCTTGTTCTCAAAGCACACATATTTTTTGATAATATAATAGTTACGAGATATTTTGATTACAAAAATAAATTATTTTTGTCGCTATCATTTAAAAAAATAATATATATATGTGTATATAATTGTGTGTATATAATTATAATTTATATAATTTATATAGTAAATGTCATAATAATTTATATCTTGGAGACTGAAAAAAATAATAGACACTTCGTCACGGATATGTGTGAAATGGAAAAAGAAAAGAAAGAGAAAAGTCACGGTTCGTAATCCTATATAAAATTCCACGAGTAACGTGAGAAAAAGAAAATGCTTTGAGAGTACATTGGTGTAGCAATCGATATATCTCGATATCTCTCCCTTGGCCTACATGCGGGAGGTAAGCGGGTCAATCCTTCATGTGTCCTGCACTATGACTGACATCGTTTAAAATACACTTGTAGCTAACAGTTTTATTCAACCTATTGACAATTTCTTTTGTCAAATTAAATTTGCAAATTATAAAATTTGCAAAGACAATTTGTTTAATAATTACATATGCATTCTTTTATATATATGATTCTATCAAAAATCTTATAATTTAACATTTTCTTTATAGATTCGGAAATCAAATATTCAATCTATCGATTTACTTATTAATTGTAAAATGGAGGATACGAAAAAGAAAGGCGCTAAATTATTACATCAGATGTTCATTCATTTATCGCAAAGTTTTGCGATTTACTCAAGGTCGCATCTTTTAACCTGCACTCAAGATTTGCATATTAATCATATTTCGCGAAATGCAAACTGAAAAAAATAATAAGAAAAAAAATTAACGTGACAATGTCTGTTCACGAGACAAAACACCGCCTACGAGCAGTCGTGCGAGTACGTGAAGTCACGCGACACTCTATGCTCCTCCATGAAATATAAAGTCACAATAGTAGCGTAGAAAGAGAGAGCTCGCATGGTGTGCAAGTATGTGTATATCGGAGGAGGACTGAAGGGGACGAAAGAAGAAAAGAGAAATGTATAAAAAGGGGAAAAGGATAAAGAAAGAGAGGGAAATAGACTGGATAGGTAGATGGAAAAGGAAAATATGTGTCGATAGAGACGATGGTGACATATATCTATATGAAAGAAGGTAATGGATAGAAAGAGACGATACACGTAGGAGCAGAGCGAGAGGGAAATTGCAGAACAAGACAGACTGATCGATCGGTGTAAAAGTAGACAGAGACAGGGTCAGACATTTTCCTAGATCGCGATACGTATGGCTCGCGTATACATTCCGTACATACCGAGGGCATCAGCTGATCGGTAGACCTGACCCGGGTCACCTTGTTCCTGTAAAGTACCCTTTTGGCGAATTTCTCCATCGGCTGGTTCCACTTCATGAAGCTCACATATGCCAAATAGAATCCAAAGAGCACGAGCGCTTCGTACCAGTAAATATAACTGTCGCGGAAGAAGTAGATCAGGGTGATCAGACTGGCGCTGTAGAAGGTACAGTCGCGAAATAGAGGCCACCATGTGAGCGACAGTACCGTACGCGAGAATATAGCGCACATGCCGATCACGAAGAGGATGTTGAAAACGGCGGAGCCGACGATAGTGCCGATCCCGACATCGTCGAAAGACACGAATACGCCTATGATCGATGTAAAGAGTTCAGGCGCCGATCCACCGGCCGCCATGAAGGTAGCACCGGCCACGTCGTCGGCGATCTCGAATTTCTCGATGATCACGTCCAGTGACGGTACGAAGAACTCGTCGCAGACGATCGCTAGCGCGACGAACATATACACCACACCGAGTATGTGAAATATCACGGCGCCGCGGCGCCGCTGATCATTAGTGAATAGATCTTCAGGGAAGAGCGGCCTCTTGGTCTCCGTATCATTATCATGAGTCCTATTGTACTCCTCAGAACTCACGGCATTGTTATTGTTATGGTCGGAGATCTGCACGCTAGTACCGTTGCTCGGCATGGCTGTGCTACTCGTGGTGGTGTGAAACATGATCGGATAGCTCGGTGCCGGTCTATGGCCCGAGGACGACGAGGGGCCCATCGCGAGGGCCAAAACCGCGGAGAGCAGAGCCATCACCATCAATCGGCGTCTCCGCCTCCAACACGTACGCCGATCGCCGCCCGTCACGATCATCGTCGTCGTCGGTGGTGGTGCTGTTGTTGATGGTTCGCACCCTCGAGGACGTTCGCCGTCGTTAGCGAGGCCTCCGTCCTCCTCCACCTTCGCCACCTTCTTCTTCTTCTTCTCCGTCCTCCTCGGCGTCCTCCACCCTCTCTCTGGCCCCCTCCACCCCCTCTTCCTCCTCCGCCGCCAGCACCACCTCCGGCTCCTCCACCGCCTTCTTCTACGTGTCGTATCGTGTCGCGCCGCGGAGGGTGTTACGACAGAAGAGCCGTACTAAGGCTGGGTCATGCTGAAACGGCGATGAGGAGCGGCTCCTTGCCGATGTCTCCCTCTGGATGGACCTATCTGTGCGATCACGGCTCGAGACTTTTCGGTACCAGAGATATATTTCCTCTCCCTTCGTTTCCCGCACTCCCTTCTACTCTTCCTCGGTACTACTCTCCGACGAGCTTTTTCACTGAATCCTCACGACGTGGGGGACCGGAAGAATTAGTTTGCGGCGCGTACTATGATTACTACTACTACTGCTACAACCAATGCTGATGTACGCCGCTACTATGAACAGGCTCGGGTATCCGACGTGACCGATATCCTTTTGCTTCCCGGCGGCGTCGGCGTCGTCGTCCTCGTCGTTGTCCTTGTCTTCGTCCTCGTCCTTGTCCTCGTCCTCGCCGTCGTCGTTGCCGTTGCTGTCGTCGTCGTCGTCGTCGTTGTCGTCGTCGTCGTCGTCGTCGTCGTCGTCGCCGTCGTCGTCGTCGTCGTCGCCGTCGCCGTCGTCGTCGTCGTCGTCGTCGTCACTGTTGCCGTCGTCGTCGTCGTCGTCGTCGCCGTCGTGGTCGCTAGGATGCGGTGGATGGTGCATATAACCCTGGATGGATATACAGGAGCAGCAGAACGGCGCCCCCGCCGCGATGCCCGCCCGCTGCACACTGGAACAACCCTGTTCCGTTTCGTTCCTCTCTCTCGCTTTACTCTCGCCCCTCTTCTGCCACCTCGCACCAACGTCGCACCGACTCCCTCCTTCTATCTCTTTCTCCCACCGTGTATTCCCTCCTTCGATCTCCTCTGTCTGCCGCTGTCCGTCTCTCTTTCGCTCTTTCGATCGTCTTCCATTCTCCGCCGACTCCCCTTTCGACTCTCTTTGCGATAGCGCAATTTCTCTCCTTTTCTCTCTCTCTCTTTCTTTCTCTTTCTCTCTTGCTCCTCTTTCGTTTAGCGTCGGCCTTATAGCATTTCGCATTTATCCTCGTCGCTCTAGAGATTGTCCGCGGTTATTCTTCCTCTTTTTTCATCGGGTACCTTCATCATTCTCCTTTCTATCAGGTTAACTTTACGCGAGCAGGGAGACCATTCTCTCTCTCTCTCTCTTTGTTACCTTTCTTCTTCACCCGCCATTCGACGTTCTCCACCCTATGCTCCCGACTCGTTTACCTTCTCGTTCCTTTTCTCGCTCATTGTTTATCTTTCTTTCGCGAGAGATAGATCCTCCGTCCTCTCTCTCTCATGCGCACGGAAAGCTTCCTGTTTCCTCGCTCCGCGCTAGCCGCGTCACCCCGCATTTCTCTCTTTTGCGCCACCCAACATCCGTGGTGGGCCATCCCGAACGCCGCCGAAATCGCCCCTTCGAACATCGTCCATCTCGCTCCGCTGACGTCCCGGCGTCCGGAATATTTCTCTCTTCCACTTGCCGCGACACCCGTACCTCCCTCCCCCGTTCGTACCAACGGGGGAAGTGGTAGGTCGTGGAAGTGGGAGCCTGCGCACGTGTGAGCACCCTTTGCCGGGCCTCTCCCGTTCGATATCGGAGAGTCGACTCTACAACTCCACGTTACGAATGCACGTATAACGGGTGTCACCCGGACGGATTCCAGCCGTCCGTCGCGCGCTCGTGCGCCTGACTTCGCCAGTCCGACATCGACTACTCCTTCCCGAGGATCACGCTGCAGACAGCTTCTCGATGCCGTTGAGCAGGCACGGTCTTCTGCGTCGAAAAATACGTAGGTGACTCGTTTTTCGCGTCAAACACTGAAAAACCGTTGGATTCGAAGATCGAGATTGATCAGCGCGACGAGATGTGACATTCCCTCGCGTAACATCTTTCTCTACGTTAAAGCCAGTCGGAGATTTGGATATAAGTACAGGGGAAAATCTATCGGGTGCTCTTTTGGGAGGGTCTTGCTCAGCCTCGGAGTTACTGCTCGAAATAATCGATGACGCGTGTATCAGCTCCGTATCTCTGGTTTCTCAGATTTTTCTTTCCCGCAGCTTTTCCTTTAATACTTGTTTGTCAATTGCGAAACACATGTATTTTAAAGTCGTGTATTTCAAAGAAAGAGATGGAGAAAATTCTATCGAGAGATTCTCTCTCTCCTTATCGTATTATAATAACATTCAATATATGTCAGTGATATTTATTTTCGCTTTTATTATATCTTCAACAATGAGAAAAGTATTATCTTGGACATATCCAGCGATTTTTTTTTAAATGTAATTTCCAAGATATCGTTTATTATTTAATGTCGTTTAATTCTTCAAAATCAATCATAGATAAGATGTACAAGTGCGATTTAGATGTTTGTCATAAACAATTGCTGATTGTGATTGGTCAATGAAATATCGTACCAATATATAATAAATAACAATTTGTCAAATTCCAATATGTCATTTTAGAATTTCGATTTATGATCAAATTAATTCGGTCAATAGTTTTAATTTAATTACTATATACCTATATACAATACTTTATTTTTAAAAAAGTGAGAAAGAAAGATAAGTTTAATTTAATCAAAATATATCTTGTCTAAAAAATTTTTTTTTTAATTCTAGCTCTAAGAAATAATAAACTAAATTCATCATTTATATGTCACCAACGTGGTCACATATAAATGTTAAGCATAACATTAACGAGCATTGTTAGGTATAGCGAGTTAAGCAGCTTACGAGCGATTATATGACACGCTCATCTAACAATAAGCAACCATGTTATATTTTCTCCTATTATTATTCTATAAGCCAATTTAAGCTGCGTAACGTAATCAATTTGTAGTTGCAAGAATATTGCTTATATAATTCAGAGAATTTTAACTTGAAAAAAATGTTCTTAAATAGAAATACATAATAACGAGCTATGCTTCCTGAAACCGTACAAACGAAGATCATATCACGCCGTATAAACTCTTATTGCTCCTACAATATAAATTCTAACAGCACTTGTATACAATCATGGAAAGTCGCGGATATTGAAGATGGATATTCTATTATTCCTTTATCGTCTTATTCGCATTGCCTGAAGAAGTAACCGATAACACCGACAAAGTGTGTAAAAGTCTGTAAAATCTTTTTGAGATGATTGAACGATTATTTTATGAAAAACTTTTTACATTGTATAAATTTATTTTGCCCAGAAATGTATTTCAATAACGTTCACCTGACAAATAAGATATACAAATTTGTCAAACGAAGCGAATAAAAAAGCTTAATTCTAATTTTATTTAACATTATTGCAATTAAGTGACTAGGGGTAAGTACATTCGGAAGTGCGTATGAGACTTCTATATATTAATTTTATCGCTCTATGACGCGTTAGTTATTTATTAATTGTAACGCAACACATTTTTGACTCGTATGTATTCTGGCAAATATAAGAAGCTGGAAAGGAATTATGTTTCGTGAAGAACTTTCTCAAGGAGACATGTGAAAAGGAAAAAACTGTCCAGGGACGGGCATTCCCTAATAGCCTCCACATCGCTCTTAGACCCACTTTGTTATGCTCTAGAGGTCGTTAGAGTTATTAATGGCTGTCAATGGGACTTTCAAGCTTTTACCTTGTCTTGAGCCTTTCATTGCACCCGATTTCCGGTCGATAAAAAGTTTTTGCGAAAGGTACAACTAGTAAATCTAGCCACTTTATAATATTTTCTATTCGGCATTCGCTTAAACTAGAAGAAAACCTTTATAAAATATACAAATATGTACAAATTATGCGCAATTTGATTAACACATTATTAACTATAAATATATGCGATATGTGTATATACACGCGCAACAATTGCCATTCTATAATGGTATAGTTGTGATTTAATTATATACTATTGTAATTTATAGGAAAATTATACAAAACGCAAGAATATTATTTCAATACGATAAGGAATATTTTCAATATTAAAACACACACTGCACGTTTCACGTAATTCATTTTTAGAAAAATCAACCATAATATTTTTTTCTGTGACATTATTTACAAATACTGTTACTTGTCTAGCATAATTACTTTGTGCATTAGAATGTTCGTGTGTGTCATATAAATATATTTACAAAATATTCAATTTTTCCAATAGTAATTATTTTAGAACATTCAACAGCATCTATTAACAATGTTGGATCATAATAGATTTTATCTGCAAACATTTTACAATGCTTTTCATTATACATATGTGCATGATCTGTTAATTGCTTCTTTATTCAGATTAACTCTAATTTTTTATGTGTAACTATTATACATGTATGGGAACCGCAATGCTGATTCAACCAAGTATTTTAGCGAATAAAGGTCAACCCATGTTTTCCTTGGCTCGTGGTTGTGCACATTATGGTCTTTTGCGTTGTGTTCACGTTAACATATGGTCCTTCGCCAGATATTGCAAACGCGGCTGTTCAAAATTAATTCACTATCGTTTCTCTAGCGTGTTGTTTAAGCATATAAAATAAATTTTCTGTGTATATATAATTTTATACCAAAATATAAATGCCAAGATATCTATAATAACAATTGTTAATATTAGTATATAATATTATATAACAATTATTATATAATATATAATTATTATATAATTATTATATAATATTATATAACAATTATTATTTTTTTGTTATATATGAGCCATATAAAAATTAAAAAACGATGTTTTTATTTAATGAGAAATATGTTTTAATTTTTGTATACATACGTATATGCGTGTGTATACTATCTTAAAAATTAAAATTGTTAATTAAAAAATTTTTTTAAATTTTTGCTATCAACTTCTAACTTTGTCTCTTTTTTAAATTAAATAATATTAAATTAAATAATATTATTTTCTAATTTATATAAATGGATAAATGCATGTAGATACATTATGTTTTTATTATAATATTTTTATGTATATAATTTTTTCATTACAATTATCGTCATGTTAAAAATATATATCAAGGTATTTTAATTAAAGTTGTTCTAATAAAAGACTCTCTGCATTTGCAATTATATATACATATATACATATATGTTTATATGTATATTTAATTAAAACGAGTATCTTCTTAACACAATATTATTAAATCTCATTCATTACTGAATGTTATACGCGTTGCAGAAAACTATTCTTATAAACTTATTAGTTTATGAAAATACGAAATTAGGAATACACGAGCTTGTGTATAAATTCATCTCCTTCCCATGTTGTTCGTCGATCGTTTATCCACGATGCCATACATAAATATACTATATAAAGCTCTTAGTGCTTTTATATATACATATCGCGCACATCGCGCTTTTATATATACATATATACACCATACCTGTTCGCAAATTCAAGTTCTGCATGAATCCTTCTGGAGATCAAAAACGCATTTCAACAATATCGTTTAGATTCATATAACTTCCAACAAATTTCTATTTTCACTTCATGGTTCCATACGATTATTATATTATTATACATGCTTTACAAAGAAAAATTATGCGACTCTCA